TAGCTAAGACCCGGGATTTTATTAATTTAAGAATGAAAGGAAGGATATGTTGGAAGTCAGGTGAGGAACCTGAGCTCAGAAAGGGGGATCTTACTGAGGTCACAAGCAAGCTGGGAGCTGAGTCCCATCACCGCCACCACTCAAGAGCCTTTGCTCAGTGCTTCCCTGCTTACTGAGAACCTGAGCAGCCCAGATAGCTCCACATGAGCATGGCCCCTGACCCCTAGGCCAAGTGTTATCCCAGTGCTTTACATTCAGGCCTTCACTTAGCCCCCCAACATCCTCACCATGGTCCCCATTCTGTAGGGGGGAAACTGAGGCACAGGGGGGTGAAGTAGGTCTCCTGGGCCACCTGATTCAAGGCCCAGTCTCTTGCTACCTTGCTAGTTCAGGTGCAGGGGGAGGACTGGACCCTCAGGCAACCACAGGTGAGATGGGAGGTGGGTGATGGGCTGTGTCCACAGCACCAAGTGCAGGGACTGGCCTCAGCCTGCTCACGTCTGCTTGTGGACAGGACCAGGTAACCAGGAGAAAAACTAACCCTGGCTTAGTGTCAGGCAGAGGCATGGGCCCAGCCCCGTCCCTGTCACCATGAGCTGATGCCCCCTGGGCGAGACACTTGACCTGACCCTTAGTTCCCACATCTGTGAAGTAGAAATTTCTGTCCCTAATGCCACCTGACTGTGCGGCACGCAGTAGGGGCTGCTAATCCTATGCTGCATGAAGAATAAGTGAGCAGGTGAGCAGGTGACTGCCACACCAGAGAGGAGCTTTTCTTAGGTTCAAGGGGAAAATAATAGTATTCCTGGACGGAGGTAGTTTTTGATGTTTTTTCCCAAACTGCTTATGTTCCACAGATCACTAGCTAGTTCCAAAAGACATTAATAACAAAGATATGAAAAGGGGTTCTAAGGCCAAATGAAAAAGCTGCCTAGGCAAAGCAGGTCAACCGGGGTTCTCCCCGCAGGACATCTCAGGGCCTGACTGAATGAGCTCGCAGCGGCTCACGGGCAGAGCTGTCGGTCTCTGCTTCAGCTTTGTGGCACCAGCCTTGCGCCAGTTCTCAGCTTTTCCTTTTTCCTGTCCACACTACTGTCAGAGAGGCTTGGACCTACCCGAAAGAAACAAGACCGTCTTCTGGAAGTGCTTTATTGGTAGAAATTCTGTTATGAGAGTTATGGTTGATTGAGTCACCCAGCACTACAGTTGGGTCATTGAGCGTGAACTGCATCACTGCAGTTAAGAGAAGAATGCTCAAAACAGCTACCCTGTTGTCAGCTGGAAATTCTGCTTCCTGTCACAGCTGAAGCGTCCCCACCGCGGGCGCCGGAGAACACGCTCGTTGTAACAGACAATTGTCACAGTACTGCAGGCTGGCGTGCGGACCAGGCCCGTGTTCCTAGCAGCCTAGCACAGCGTGGGTTCTGAGGGAGAGGGAAGGATGATTCTCAGCAATCTATGCTGCCTCCCCTGGCTACTGCCGGAGGCCTCTGCTCCAGATCCAGCCCCCAAGGCCAGAGGCCTCACCCAGCTTCTTAAATGGGGTAGAAGAGGTAAGGGGGTCCTCCCTGGTGGTGCAGCGGGTTAAACGCAGCACTGCATGCTAGCTGCAGCTGCCTCAGTGCGAGTTCAAATCCCTGCCCTGGAAGTGACCCACATGGCACAGCACACATCTCCTGTCTCACCTGCTGCTCCCCTCAGCAGTATATTTCAGGCGATCTGCCTGTTCTGCTCCCCATTCTGTCTCTGGTGAAGCCTCTCACTGCCCCTGCACCCCAGTTCTGTATACATAAATTTAAAAACAAATCTTTAAAAAAACAAAAAGCGGTAAGGAGCTCTCCTCCCTCCTTCCCCCCTCCTTCCAACAAGTGCTGATCACCTATGCTGAGCCACACACTGTTCGAAGCACTAGTGATGAAAGACTGAACAAGAGAGCCATCTCCCCTCCTGCAGATAGTGTTAACACTGTAAAGGGAAGAGAGCATGGGGTTCACGTGAACAGAGGGGAGGGCTGGTCAGGGAGGCCCTCTGAGGAGGCAGCAGTTTGCTGAGACCCGGATGAGAAGCTGGCCACGGAAGGCCTGCGGGAGCCAGGTTTCCAGGCAGAGACTAGCAGCATGGGGCTGAAGTCCTCAGGAAGGGTTGACCTCAGTGTGACAGGAGCAGAAAGGCACCAGCACCGGTGCTTCTCGGGAGCTCTGGGCAGCGGCTGCATTGCAAGTCAGGAGGGCTTTAGTCTGGTGCAGTGGAGAGCCACAGAGGGGGAGGGGGCTGTCACCAGGAGGGGAGACACGGGAGGCAGCAGGAGATAGAGCCTGGGGCTTGGCTGGGGTGTCAGACTTCCCAATGCCCAGCAACCCTCCCCGCTCCCTTGAAGCTCCTGCCAGTCTGTCTGGCCGAGGGGCGACTGCTCCAAGTAGGCATGTCCTTCCTTCCTCGGAGCTCTGGCTGTGGGGGCGAAGCTGACACCCAAATCCACACCCTTTCAGGAGCCAGGGTCTCGGGCCTCCTGACTTCCTGCCTCATACCAGAAGACCCTTCAAGAGCAAGAGCCCTGAGTTCAACCCCGTCAAGCCCTTAGGGGGAAATGGAGGGCACAGACAGAAGGCTCTTTGCCCCCATCGCTAAGGAAAGGACTGGACACTTCCCGAGGGGCCACCGGGGGCAGCAGGGCCGCTGACCACCTGCTCTAGCCAAGCAGGCCTGCCCTGCTGGCCTCCCCCTTCCCCTTTTGGCCATAAACCTCTTTTGTGCTTGTTCCCTGGAGCTCCATCTCCTTGCAGGGGTCACGGGGCACCACTGACCCCAGCCCCTGCCTGCGTGCCCAACTGGTAATTGAAAATACCAGAATTCCCTGAAGACCAACTTACAGGGAAACCTGACACCCTGGGGTGGGCGGCAGGCGGCAGGAGGGATGGGGGAACATCCAGCTGTTCCCTTTTCTCTGCTGTTAATCCCCCTGGATTCCAGGAGAAAGGCCAGCCCGGCTTGGCCCCCTCTGGCCCCCTCTGGCCCGCCTTGATCATCTTCCCAGCAAATGCCGCCTCCTTGCCACGCCCAGGGTTACGGGGCTTATGGGATCAGAGCCGGGTTAGCTGCCTGTAACCCAAGCCTGCCAGCTAAGCCCACCAGGCCCAGACCCCCATAGCCGAGTGAGATCTGCCTTCTCCAACAGCTGAGCGCCTGGAGCTGGGGCGGGCCGGTGGCGGTGGGAGAGGTGAGTCAGCAGAGCTGGGCGGAGGTGGCCTCCAGCCCCAGGCCGGGAGCTGGACCAGGGTGTCCTCAGAGGCCCTCTGTGTCCACTGGCTTCCAGACCGCTTTGGCTAGCTTCTATCAGTCACAGCCAATGGTGGGGAAACAGCAGCCGGGGTTCAAATGCCAGATCCATTGATTGCTATGACTTAGGGCAAGTTGCTTCATACCTCCAGGCCTTCGCTTCATCATCTGAAAAGTGGGTTTAATATCACCAGCCTCACCCAGTTGGTGTTCACGTTGAAAAGAGATGGCTGCTACAAAGCATTTGGAAACGCGCCCAGAGCAGATGGAACAGGAAAGTTCTGGGCCCAGGAGGACCCGGTCAGTGGTGCTATCAGCTGTCAGTGCACACAGAGAGCCCTGGGGTGGCCTCATTTTAACAAGATGCTGGCCGGACCCCCAGGCGCTGGTGACACCTTGGTCTGTGTAGCCTTGGGCCGAGCTCTTCACTCCGACTCTCAGCTTGCCGTGTGCAGAATGGGCCTGAGGAGGCCAGCTTCAGGGGCTGTTGTGAGGCTTCCGTGCAGGTCAAGGGCATGGCCGGGCGCCAGCACACGAGGCCCAACAACAGGGGTCGCCGGGCCTCGGGCTCTCTTGTCAGCCTAGGAAGGAACGAGGAAGACAGGCTCTCATGGAATCTAAAGAGGAAACCGCAAGAGCTGGGTCCCCCCACTTCCCAAGAGGCCTGTCGTGCCTGCCTGTCACGCTCATGTCCGGAGGTCAGAGGCCCTGCCAAACGGGATTTTGTGAGGAGCAGGGTCAGCCTCAGGCTACAGACACCACTGGGTTAGCTGAGACAGGGTCTGCTCGTCCCAGACCTCTATCTAGCGCCAAAATATTTCATCACCCAGGAGAAAACCCCAATCTACCCCTCCCCGGCCTCTGATGACCACCAGTCTGCTTCCTGCTTACTGCCTGAGCATCATGTGATACGGGATCGTGTTGGATGTGATCTTTGTGTCCCTCACTAGCGTGCTTCCGGGCTTCTCCCACATGCCAGTACTTGCTCCTTCATGATCATGCTCTAGATACGACCTTACTGTGAGCAGCTGGCCACTGGTTCCTCCCTTCACCCACTCACGGGCACGGGGCTGTTCCCCTCTGCTGGCTGGCATGAAGCGTGCCCTGGAAGCAGTCCTGCACAAGCATTTGTTTGAAGACCTCTTTTCAGTTTGGGGGGCCGGGGGGTGGGCGTCTATAATCCTGGGTCACATGGTAATGCCATGTTTAACCTGTTAAGGCACCACCGAACTGTTTCCAGAGCAGCAGCAGATTTATTATTGTATGTGAATTTGGGGGAGGTCATTCCCTGCTCTTCCCAGGCGCATAATGGTCACTCCACGAGTTTGTTGAGGGGATTAAACAGCCTCCCACCTTCTCTGCTTCCCTCCCAAAGCCCCATCACAACAGAACGTGCCCTGGGGCGTTAGGCTGTAGGAGAAAGAACACTTTGTCCACTCCACTCGGGCCAGGCCAGAGAAGGGGTCAGTGTCTCTCTGCTTGGAGTTACTTGGGCTTCCCCAGGGCTGGGAATCATGTCTGTAATCTCAAAGTGCCCTTGACAGCAGCGTCTTCATGACCTTAAACCCGTCTCCTGCCTCCTGTCCGTCCCAGGCTGGCTGGGTGTCCTCGGTCAAACGGCCTCCCCACTTGGGCCCCGCAGCTCTGTCCGGGCAAGTCTGAGGTCAGCCTGGACACCAGCCTCCCGTGCCTGCCCAACCCCTCACCTCTCACCTCTCTTCCAGCCCCATCGGCCGTGTCCATCATGCACCAGGTGAGCCGCACCGTAGACAGCATCACCCTGTCGTGGTCACAGCCCGACCAGCCCAACGGTGTCATCCTGGACTACGAGCTTCAGTACTATGAGAAGGTACCTCTGCTCGGGGAGCATGTCGGCCCCATCCCCAGCTCCTGAAGTCCCCTCCTCAGCTGGGGCCTGGGGTTCTGCCCTCCCGCGAGAGGAGACGCACCGTGCAGCCGAGAACACCTGCTGCAGAGCCCGCTCTCCTGCTGGCTCGGCTTCTCCTGCTGCGAGATCTCGGGCAGGTGTCCTGACCTCTCTTACCTTTTAGTCTGGGGGGGTCCGGCCAGCATCTTGTTAAAATGAAGCAGCCCTTTCCCCATCAAGGCCCCTTCGTCTTGACTTCAGTGGGCCTGATGTCTGAAACAGCTGGATTTATAAGTAATAAGTAGTGTTCCACCCATTCTGAAGCAAGGATGGGAGAGTGCCCAAGGGCATCTGTGCAGGCAGAGGAAGCACCTGTGCTTCCTCTTCGGTTCCAGCTCAAACACTGTTTTCATTTGCCCACGTGTCCATTGTATGGCAAGAGGATGAGTTCTTGAGGTATCAAATCAGACCCTCTGACCCCCACAGAGGACCTCTAGGACACAGGGACCCTGGCCTGGAAGTCGCCGCTGTGGTAGAAGGAAGATGGCCGGGACTGAGAAGCCAGACATCCAATCCCAGCTCCGGCCATCACCAGCTGTGTGACCTTGCCAGGCATCTTGCAGCTCCAAGCCTCAGTTTCCACCTGTGTGGGATTTGTGGGGTCCATAACAAAGAGACGCACAGCTCCCAGCAGCCTCCCTGCCTGCCTACTGGCCTGTCCTGTACGGGGCCCGCACAGCAGCTGGGGGTGAGGGGGCCAGTGGGGAGCTGGATATCACAAGCCCAGGAAACTCTTCTGACTGCTGACTTTTCCTGCCTGCCCCCTGGGGCACCAAACAGCCCCACAGAGGCTGCCAGGACCCCTGGGGAAGATGTCACTGGGCTGCCATTCAAACTGAAGTGTATGACTGCGGGAGGGACTGTCCAGACTGGAGGGACAGGGGCGTGGAGGGAGACGCTCTCCCTAAGGACTGAGACAAGCAATCCTGCTGGAGCCCCACTTTATGAGGCCCAGCGTGGGCCTCTAACTACTGGATCAGCCCAACCCTGGGAGGCTCCGGGGCTCCACAAAACACCAGCCGGATGATTTTGTGTGCTTGAGAGCCCCCCCTCCTCAAAGCAGCACATTCACGAGGCTGGGGGGCCACGTCAGTCCTGCTCACTGCCTTCTCCCCAGCACCCTGGGCCACCCGGGACACCTGGTGAATAAATAACTGGGTGAATGAATAACACTCCTGGGTGTCTTGTGCCACCGCGGACCATTCATAGAAGGCCCCTGCGCTGCCCTGCACCTCGTGTCTCCAGCCCCTTCTGCCTCCACCCACACTTCTCCTGCCCCCCTCATCTCTGCCAGTCAGCCTCTGCAGGGTCCCTCTGGCTCCCCCTCTCACCTGGACATGCCCCCCTTTAAGCATCGCTAGCTGGCTGTGGGAGCCGGTGTCTCCTCCAGAAGGCTATGAATGAGGGGTGCGTGAATTCTGTGAATGAGAGGAGCATGGAACCTGTTAACGACAAAGGGGGCTGTACCCAAGGCTGGATGCCTAGATGGAGCCGGGGGTGAATTCCATCCTCACCTGCACCTGCCCAGCTCTCAGCCACCCCTTCGAATCTCAGCTTAAATATCACCTCCCTGGGGAAGCCCGCCCCGACTGCCCCTCCCAACACAGGACCCTCCCAACACAGAAACCTCACTCCTCTCCATTCTTCTTAGCACTGATCACAACTGTTTTATCACAGTGACTGAGCCACTAGGTACTAAGAGCTAGGCACTAAGACCCTGCCCTGTTTCTCCTGGGTCCCCAGCCTGGCCCACAGTGGTTGCTCAAGAGGAGTTTGCTGGACCAAGGATGTGAGTGTAGCAGTGGCAGTGAGCCGAACATCCCTGGTAGCCACACTGACCTCTCCAGACCCTGCAGCTAGGCAGGAACTACGTTTCCACTCCCTCTGACAGGAACAGCACTCAGAATTCAAAATAAAAAAAAAAAAAAAAAAACCTAATTAAGAAGCTTTATGATTAAATGAAACTGGAAGTGTGTGTCCCCAAAGACAGGAGCGGAAATGAGGAATCCCAGCGCGGCTCCTGCCCACGACCCACTTCCTACTGAGATGGGAGGGGCCAGAGGGGCTGACGGGTTTGGGAACCAGGAGGCACCTTGTCCTACTTTCTGCTGCTGCCCAGGTATCCCCAGGCCACTGCTGGGGTGGCAGGACCACAGGCCTGGGGCAGCCATGGTCACCACCTGCTCACACTCCATGAGTGCCCCCCACGTGGGTGCTCCCCATTATCTCATTGATCCTCACACAGTGCCTGTCATCCCAGCAGGGACACTGAGGCACAGAGACCATTGCTGAGGAGCAGAGCAAGGCTCTGGACCTGTGTTTTCACATTCATCTGAAGCCTGCCTCCCAGTTTGCTCCCAGGCATGCATGAGGAGGATACCAGACTAGGCTCTGATGAGGGGCCGGGGTCTTAGGCACAAAGGCAGGAGAGAAGTAAGCCTGAGATGTGGCTGAGATGACACATGACACCTCTGCTGTCATGCCTTCCTCCAGGGCAGAGGGGCCTGGCATCTGCCCGGAGGGAGATGGACACAGGTTCAATCAATATCCACCATCACCAGCTTTCGACTGGACCCTGAGCTGGGTATGGGGCATAATGCAGTCAACAGACATACCCGCAGGCTCAGGACTTCACAGGCCAGGGACAGCCACTTCAGACACAGCCTAGAGACAATGTGTGACGAAAGTCACAGAAGGACTAGCAAAGGCCCCATGGGGAACCAAGGAGAGGCCCATAACCCTGGCATGGGTGAGGGCAAGTCTTCATCCAAGTAGCGCTTGAGCTGAGCCTTGAAAGACGCTAGCAGTTCACCAGATAGACAAAAGATAAAAGCAAGATCCTCCCAGCCGACAGGCAGGGCATGTGCAAAGACCCTGGGGCAGGAGTGTCTCAGGGAAGAGAGAAGGCCAGCTGGCAGTAGTGGCGTGAACAAGAGAGATCAGCGGGAAACAGGGAGGAAGGTGACAGGCTGTGTGGCTGGTAGGCCACATAGGTTCTAGCCATCGAAGGTTCTAGAATATTGCGATTTGACTCCCATTACTTTAAAGGTCCCTGTAGCTTGCTATGTGGAAAACAGGCCACAGGGCTGTCCCAGGTGGACCCTGCTCGAAACTCTCATGGGACACGGCCTGACGTGCTGGTGGCAGGGACAGTGAGAAGCTCAGAGGTTCAGACAGTATTTTGCAACTTGAGGGACCAGGGCGTATAGAGAAAGATGCCTGTAGTGTGTGGTGCCTTTTCCTGGGACAGCTGTGGACTTTGTCTGCAGGTATAGGGGTGGGGCTTCATGGGCTGGGGGAGATGGCGTGTGTGACAGCAGGCTGAGAGGAAGCAGAGTAGGAAGGAGAGGACCCAGGCGAATGGCAAGATTTTAGGAGAGAGAGAAAAGAGTTGATGAAAGGGTTGGAGGAGCTGCCAGCAGAGAGGGAGGAGGAGAGCTGGCCGGTTTCTGTCCCGGACCTGGGGGTGAGGCTGTGACATACCAGCCAGCCTGCCCCTCAGCCCTGCCCGCAGGGAGTTATTTCTGACCAATGGCAGCCGCCTCTTACCTAACACATTGGCATCCTCCTGCGGCCTGCGATTGATTTCTTTAATGAATGCGCCTGATCTTCCCAGGTAGGGAGTCAGAGGCTGAGGCTTAGAGGCCTGTTGGCCCCGCCCCCACCTTGGTCCTTTCCCTCTTTACTGGGCTCTTTGGGAACCTGCTCTGCCTGGCCTTTCTCCAGCCCCACTAGGGTTTCCCAGCCTGTCAGGAGCCCAGAGCCGACAGCCCCTTTGCTGGAAGGGTTCTGGACACCTCTGACAAAGGGTGTTAACCAGGCCTGGGTTGGCCATCTCTACCAGCTCCGGAGGCCCCGAGACAGTGACCGCCTTCAGCAGCTGCCCCAAAGCGCATACAGGTTCCCAGTGCCTTTGGCTCCCAAGTGCTTAAGGAGAGTCATTTTATGAGGTCACCTATGGCAGATGGGCCACACCGAAGTGTTTATTCAACAGATTTGCATTTGGCAGAAGGGAGGGGGGAAGGACATTCTAGGCAGAGATAAAGGCTGGGGGCTGGGGGCCATGCCAGCCCTGGCTGTGTGCATGACCCCAGTGAGTGGAGCAGTGTCTGCGGAGAGCCCTGTGGTCCTTCTGTGCGCTGATGATAACTGACCACGAGGCCAGCATCTCCACAGCCTTCCGTGCTCTAGAGACAACGTTAAGGCTTCACCCGCTTTCCCTGCCGAAGCCCCACACACCCTGGCGGTACCTGGTGGGCTGGCCCACTTCAGAGGAGACAGGGTTCAGAGGGCTGGAGAAGTGCACCCAGAGCCTCACTGGCCCTTGAGCTGTGGTAAGGACTCAGCCCAAGGACTAGAGGATTTCATGCTAGGTTTCTCCCTGCCATCTATTAGCGTTCAGCCTTATTCAGAAAGGGGAGCGAGGATGGGAGTTGATAGCTCAACCAGCACCGCCTCATCAAATTTTTGTCTTCATAACAACCCCCACGGGCTGGCATTTGTTGTTCCATTTTCTGGACTAGAAGCAGGGCTCAGAGATGTAAGTGAAGGCTCTTTGCCAAGGTCACAATGGAAGTGGAAGAGCTGGCATATGAAACTGCTTCCACTCCTTTCCTCTGTCCTATGCCCTGGCTGGTTCCTTCCTCTCCTCAGGCAACTGTGCTACCAGCAGCTACTTTCCATCTCCCTCTCACAGTTGGGAACTTGAAACTTAAGCCTCTGTAAAGAGAGACCCACCCAATCTGCGGAATCCAGCCCCTGTCCAAGTCGGAGCAGATCCTATATTAGATAGTGGCACCTAGTGGCCAAGCCTGGTACTACAATCCAGATTGGGGATTTTGAGTCCATTAACATTCATTCATTCTTCCTGTAAGCATTTATTGTGTGTGAGGGAGACGAGATCCCTGCTCTTGGAGAACCTACAGTCTTTAGAGAAAACAGGTGTATATCAGAATAGTAGGTGTAAGTGTTGAGAGCAGACACTGAACCTGCAACCTCTGGCTGGGACTTTTGGGAAGTCTCCCAGTAGAGGTGGTGCTGGTGCTGAGTCTTTTTTTTTTTATCTTAAAGATTTCAAAGATTTATTTATTTATTTGTTTACTAATGCATACAAGAGCTGGGGTACAGGTCACAGGTGTGTGGGTGGTGAACAGATTCACCAGAGACAGAGTGGGGAGCAGAACTGGCAGATACACTGAAACACACTGCTGAGGGGAGCAGCGGGCAGGTCAAGAGAGGTGTGCCGCACCATGTGGGTCAGCTCCCTGGCCAGGGATCGAACACATGCTGCAGTGAATGGAGATAGCTTCATAGTGCTGAGACTTAACCCTTTGTACTTCCAGGGAGGCTTTGGTGCTCTTTTAAATAATGAACTGCCAGGAGATGGGCAGCAGCCCTTGCAGAAATCCAGCATATCTAAGGACAGTACCATTGTCAAAGACAAGGCAAAACACCTGGTTACATCTGAAAACATTTTTTTTATATAAGTATGTCTCAAGTCTTGCACAGGACATACCTACAGTAAAAAGAAAAATACATTGTTTACTTCAAACTTAATTAAGCATCTTTTATTTGCTAACTATGGCAGCCCTGCCAAGGAAAAGGGAAGAAGCTGGGTGTGACAGGGGAGACTGGCAAAGGTCAGATCACAAAAGGTCTGTCTTGCAAAGCTAAGGAGTAGAGCCCGTGCCTGTGCACCCTGGGGAAGGGCTCTGTGTGCAAGCACTCTCTGCTTGGTAAAGGGAGCAAAACACAACCCCTCCCTCAGGAGTTCATAACCCAAGGGCTGAAGAAACCTGGGCCCAGGGAGAAGAGATGTAGTGGAATCCCCTCTGTGACACCCACAGCCAGTGGGCCAGGCTTGGAGGAGGGGGGTGCATCTGGCTGGGGATTCTAAGAGGCTTCCTGGAGGAGGGACAGGAGATTTGGCTCAGGAAAGAGCCTTCCTATCTGCTGCTGCCTTGGGTGTGGGGGGGGTGGTGGAGGGGAGGCACTGGCAGGTGAGCCCCTTCTCAAGTCCCACATCTCAAGCTGTCACCTCTTTGCCTCTTCTCCTCCCTCACCTGCTGCTCCTTCTGCCAGGAATACCCTCCCCCCTTTGCCTGGTTGACTTGCGTTTGTTCCCTAAGACATGACTCCAGTTCCCCCAGCTCCCCCTGAGAGTTCTCCTTGACTTCTACTATTACCCCTCACCCAGGCACGGTCATCTGCTCCCCATTCATTATGCCCTACTCTGCCAGGGTCAGCATTTTAGACCTGTTAATTCGTTATATCCTCTAAACAATTCTTGAGGTAGCTATTATTATTATTCCCATTTTAGAGGTGAAGAAAAGAAAGTAAGACAAGTTCAGGAACATGCCTAGGAGCCGAAGGTGATAAGGAGTAGTCAGGATTTGAACCCAGGGAGTCTCCTCCCACGTGCGGACCTAATGTCTACTCTATAATACCCATAATAACACAGTTCACATCGAACCTAATTACTGCAAGAGCTTTCCAAGCGTCTGTGTACCTCAACGCATACGTGATTGACATATACAATCAGATGTGCATTTTTCTGCATAAGGATTCATAGTTTTCATCAGCTTCTCATACAGGTTCATGATTCTCCAAGGATTGAGATCTCCACACTGTTTGCTTTCCTGAACAGAGTTCTCTGAGGCCAGGGCCTGTGCTTCAACCCCTGTGGCTCCGCAGGGCCCAGCCCAGGGTCCAGTGCAAAGAGGGTATCTGGGAAAGGTTTGCTGGTGCCTGACAGATGCCTGAACAAGCGCCATTCCCCCACTCCCACTGCAGCACTGCACCCCATTCTGTCCCAGACCACTCTGGTCACCCTAAGCAGTGCTTAGGAGGTCAGGATTGGTGTTCTGCACCCTTCAAAGGTGGGGGCATTAATTAGGTCCTGGTTCCCAAAGGCATAGACATTATAGCTGATCCACATGGGAACCTGGTTTTGAGTACCAAAGCAACTGATATGTGTGGCCTTGAGCATCATTTTCCCTTTCCAGGCCTTCACTCTTGCCTCATTCAAGTGCACTGAGGCGAGCTGGGTGCCTTCTACATAAGCAATCAAGGCGATGGACTGGGAGGTGGGTGCAGAAGTAAATAAGGTGGGCCCGCTCCTGCTGTCTCCAGGACTCACAGTCCAGTCCTCGAGGTCTGCACAGTGACTAGTGCAACTGTGTCAGTAGCTGCTGTAACCCCCCAAGGCCAATGGCTAATGAGGGGCTACTTTCATTACCACGAGAGTGTGTCTGAGGGTCAATTCAGGTGGCCTTGTCCCAGCCTAGGAGTTAGGTCAAGATCTTCTCCACATGTTTCTGATTCTGGAACCAGCTGTTACCCAGGCTAACCACCCTCTTCCCCCTTAGCAAATGACAGAAGCACAAGAGGCCAGACCAAATCAACAAGCACATATAAAGACTTTTGCATTACATCCTCTAGAATATTCCTATGACGAACGCAAGTCATGTGGACAAATTCCTCATCCATGAAGTCAAGATACATCCTCTGGCCCATTCACAGGAAATGTTACAAAATCACCTGTTGAAAGTGTGAGCGTGAGACTCAGTAATAGAGAGAACCATAGATGTTCACCCGGTACCAGACCCACCACAGGTGGCTGGTGTGGGCAGCAGGCTTTGGGCCCTCCGTGGGCAACACTGGCTTAACTGTCTTCTCTGTTCCTCGGCAGATGCTCAGTGAGTACAACGCCACAGCCATAAAAAGCCCCACCAACACGGTCACCGTGCAGGGCCTCAAAGCCGGCGCCATCTATGTCTTCCAGGTGCGGGCTCGCACCGTGGCGGGCTACGGGCGCTACAGCGGCAAGATGTACTTCCAGACCATGACGGAAGGTAGGCCACGCCCAGAGGGGCAGCGGACAGCACTGGCTCCCAAGGCAAACCCACAGCCCCCATTCCCATAAAGTGCAAATCAGAAAGGCACACCCTCTTCTGGGTATTGATCTCCCAGTGTACCCCACGGGCTGGAAATCTTTGTGCACCACGCTTGCAGGCACTGTTTCTGCCACCAGAGAGGATATGTCTCCTCCATTACCATTGTTAGCCCACGACTCCTGGGCTCAGCCCTAACTTGTAGAGCCCCTCTGAGCAAGTCCCTTCCCCATCCTAGTCCAAATTTTTCTTATATATGAAAGTACTATGTTCAGTCTGCAAGAACAAATATATCTCATTCATAGGCTACTCCAATGACTTGAGTGAGATTGTGGATTTGAAAAGCCTTTTGAAACCACATCTGAGTTCAGCTGAAAGAAGAGCTGGGATGGATTAGTTATGTCTGCCCTGGGCAGAAAATAGGAGGAGCCCATGTGTTATGTGTCTCCACATAAGGGTGTGAATTCTGGGGCTTGACTATTAGAAAGCACAATGATAATTCAGCCTTACCTATGGGTCCCTGTGCAACTCACTCTTATCTCTCTGAACCTCAGTTTTCTCATCTATACATGGGCATGATAAACTACCTCATGGTCATTGTTTCATCAAACTGGGCATAAGGGTGAGGGATAAAAGTACAGGAGGGCACAGGGGTAGCACTGGGCTCACACAAAGTTAACATTTGCCAAATAGCAATCAAGGTCTTAGTTGTCATTGATGTGAACCTGGGGACCTTTTACAAACTAGCTATGCTCTGAGCAGCTTTACTTATAACCAGACTTCAGCATCTCTTCTTAGCTTCAACGTTCATCTGCTTCAATCACCAAGTCTGAACCTTGGCCTTGACCTGGCTGAACATGTCAGAGGCTCTCGGACCTATATATTCGTGTCTTATCACAAAAACTCTCTCTCTGGTTCTATCAGCTTCCAACAAGCTACCTCTCCTTTCTCATAGGCAGTATATGTCACTTCTCTAGGCCCTTTTTTCCTGTTGGATGAATGTCACTGACCTGGGAATTAAAGGACTGTCCCCAGATCCTTTCTTAACTAATTCAGGAAATATGAGCTGAGTCCTTGCCATATGCTGGGCCCTGTGTGGGTGCTAAGGACCCAGTTTGATGTGGTCCCTATGTGGCCAAGGAGCAAATGAGGAGTAATAATGACAAGAAGTGCAGTGATGGTGTTGATGGCATTGACAGTTTCCAAGAACCGAGGACAGTGCTGGGAGCATGTTACATATCACCTCATTTAAGCCTGTGGCCTGGGGTCACGCAGACCGGGGTTCAAATGCTGGCAAATTTCTCACTGTGTGACCGCGGGTGCGTCATGACCTCACTAAGTTCAGTCTTCTCATCTGTAAAGTAGTTTAATTATGCATCATAAGACTGAAAATCAAACAAGACAGTGGTGTGACCGACATGTGACACACTCAATAACATCGTTGCTCAGTGGGTGCCGTGAGTTGTTAAGTGTGTTACAGAACAAACCTATGAGATGGGAACTATTATTCTCCCCATTTTACAGATGAGGAAACTGAGGTAAGTTACTCTCCCAGAGATCACACCGATGGTAAGTGGGATTGTCAGGACTCAAACCCAGGAGTCTTACCTGAGTCTGTGTCCTGAGCTTTCATATCAACATTGAGCTATAAATGTTATTAGGCCCACTTTGGAGATGAGAAGTTGAGGATGGGGACTGTTCGTGGGCTGGTGGAGGAGTGACGGTGTTTCCCACCTGGGCACAGAACAAGAGCTTTGTTAGGAGCGGGAACAGGGTCTGGGGAGCCCAAAAGACCAGGTGGAGGGATGTGAGGCGTTCGGACCCCCAGAGCCAGGCTGAGAGCTCGTGCTGTGCTTTCTCCCCAGACGAGTACAAGACAAGCATCCAGGAGAAGCTGCCTCTCATCATCGGCTCCTCGGTGGCCGGCCTGGTCTTCCTCATCGCCGTGGTCGTCATCGCTATCGTGTGTAACAGGTGGGTGGGTGAATCCCGGCGCCATCCAGGGGGATCTGTCAGTCCTTCCAAAATGGTGTCGGGGAACGGAGGAGGCCTCCTCGCCTCTAGCAGGAGCAGGGAGGCTCAGGTGGGCCTGGACAGCCTGCTGCCACCTAACAGCCCTCAGTCCACCCCTTTGGGTTAGACGTGTCCTTGACAAGGCCTCTCCTCAAGGGAGTGGCGCACTGAGACACTGAGGCTTCGGTGTGAAGGAGCATCTCAGAACAGTGGGCAGGAAGACAGCAGGGCACTGGGAACCGAGTGGGAGGCGGGAGGGAGCGCAGCGGGCCCCCCCTTTCTGCACAAGTTGAGGCCCCTTCATGCGTAGCACCAGAGCAGAGTATTGGATGGGAACTTGTGGAACCCAGGTAAGGCCTCCAGGTGAGGTAGCTGGAAAGGTGGGAGAGGGCCGAGACAGGAGGTGGGCAAGTGACGCCCTGTTTGAAAAGGCAGAAGGCGGCACGGGCCCCTGGCTTCTGCCCATTTAATACAAAGAGAGACTCTTCCTTAAAGAGCTGCTCACTTCGGTCAGACCTGGGGCAGATGGGCAGATGGGCAGCAGCCACCCAGGCTTCTGGGGACCGGAGGTCAGGACTGGGGGATGGCTTTGCCTGAGGCCCCAGTGGAAACGGAGGGTGAGAGGGCTTCTGAGGCCAGCAAGGGTGCGGCTGCTGGGCCGGACAGGCAGGAGCACTCCGGCAGGGGTGTGGGTCCCAGGGCCTGCGCCCTCCCGAATGCCCACGCTGGCTCCCAGCTCCCCGGGTGTCTCCAGGTGGCTCCAGCCCTTTGCTCTTGTTCCAGAAGACGGGGCTTTGAGCGCGCGGACTCGGAGTACACGGACAAGCTGCAGCACTACACCAGCGGCCACAGTATGTACACCCAGGGCCGGCACCCACCCCACCCAGTTCTCCAGCCTCTCCCTCTGCCTCCCACCTTGCTGCGGCCAGAGTGAAAGTCCTTAAACGAGCCAAGTTCCCTGCCTGCCACTGCTCTGTCCTGACCACTCTCCCCTTTCTCTTTACCTGTGAGGTTCTTCCTAGTCCTCTGAGAAACCTCCCAGCTGGGTCAGGGCCTCGCAGGTGCTGGCCCAGCACATCCTCACTGGCCACTTTGTGATGGCCCTTCCCCCGCCTCTCCACGGGGTGGGGACGCCTGGAGGCCTGTAAATGTGGCTGCACACTCTGACGCCCAGCACAGAGAAGGCAGAGACACACTGGCAGGACAAACACACGACTGAAGCTCTGAGGAGCACCCAGGCTCCTCCTGCCCCCTCCCATCCTACCTCAGGCCAGGAGAGGGGCATGAGACATACTCAGAGCAGCTGTTCCCTCCTGGGGGCCAGTAGAAAAAAAAGTAAGTCATAGCTTTCTCTCGGTTTGACTTTGGCAAGAATCAACCATCTGGGGGATAAAAGGGGGCCAGGAAGGAGAACCTTAGTCGTCACTCCTGCTCGCTCAAACAAACGAAATCCAAATGTGTCCAGTGTAGCTTCCTCAAGCTATTCTCAGCATAGGGCTCTCAGAGGACACCAGGTAAGGGGTGTCCCTTCATTTGCGACCTGTCTGCATGTCCTACTAGGAGTTGCACGATTCTAGTAAACAAACCAGATGTCCCTGCCCCTGTGGGAGACAGGGAATAGTGACACACATGATAGGTATTAGAAATTGGCAGTGCTGTGGGGTAAAGCAGAGCGGGGTGGTGAACTGAGAATGGCTGGGGTCAGGATTGCCTCTTGAAATTGGGCCTCACGGAGAGGTTCATTTAAATAGATACAAAGGAGTTAGTGAGATTTGCAGCGATTCCCGAGTGTCCCAGGCAGTGGGGACAGCCCGTGCAAAGGTCCTGGGGCAGGAACATGCCTGGTAGGTTTCAGGAGCAGCCAGGAGACCAGTGTGCCTGGGGCAGAGTGAGCGGCAGGAGGGGGAAGATTACAGGCCACAGCCCAGGATCTAAACTCTGAGTGATGCAAGGAGCCGCTGCCAGCGTTTGAGCAAAACTGTGCCGTGTTCTCAGGACACTTCTCTGGCTGCAGTGTGGGGAAAGGACCGAATGAGCTGGCGTTTGCCAGGCAAGGATAGAAGCAGGGGGGCCCAGGAGGTGGCCGTGGGAGTCACCCGGGGACCCTGTGACGGTGGGCAGACCTGGGTGGTGGTGGCGGGGTCTGACTCGGTGTGAAAGCAAAGCCCCCTGGGCCCACTTCAGGCTGGGATGTGCGGGGAAGAGCCGAGTCGGGGTGTTCTAGGTATTCACCCTCTGGGTATGTCTTCATTTGGAGTAAAAGTTCTTGTGTTTTAAAATCACTTTAGGCAGAAGTGTAAAAATAATTAAACCATTAACATTTCCAGAAGATAATTTAGGTAACACTTTAACTGATCCGTGGGTGGGAAAGGACTTTGGAAGCATAAATGGCCACAAAACGATCCTAAGAAAAAAGGAGGACAACTTTAACCACACAGAAATAAAAATCACCTGTACGTTAAAAATAAAAGCCATAAATTCCAGCCCCCTCTGCAAGTCCCCAAGTAATAAAATCATGATCGGAGACGGAGCTCAGCCTCTTGTGTCCTGCCTGCCAGGGCTTGGCTTAGTGCTGCCCACTACCTGTCCATTTAGTCCTGTTCGTTTCCCCGCTGGAGTCTGGGACACTGAGGCACAGGCCGCTCGCACCGCTGCTCAGAGCAGGAGCTGGGGCATGAACCCCAGGGCGTCTGGCTCCAGGGTGCACCCCCTTAGCCGTATCATGCTGTCTACACCCACTGAGGCTGAATAAAACGTGCTGGCGTGTTCTGTCACCTGGAGCCATTCAGGACCAGTATTTGGAGCTTGTGTAGATAACAAGAGAGCAGGTGACAGCCGGGATTTATTTTTAAAATAGGCCCAGGGTTTCTTCTAAGACCAACACATTTGAAAGCACAACTCCTGCTCCCTGCATCTGAGTGGGACTTTGTTTCCCTCAAAGTCTCCCCACCTCAGCCCCATGATACACGGCCACCGCAAGCTGTGTGGCCGGGGCAGCGAGGCCCAGAGGCATGTGACCGGCATAGTCACTCTCATGGGCGCTGCAGGTGCTGAATGATACCAAAGCTTGCAGTTCCCGGATGTGGAGCCAGCGGGACTCGGTTTCTTATCCCTTCCCCACTGGCCAGCTTGGCGACCTTGGGGAAGTCAGTGGACTTCAGCCCAGCTTCATTTCCTGAAAGTAGCAGGAATGATACTTCTTTCATTCCTGAGGATTAAGTGAATTAATGGATATTGAAGTACTTTGTAATAATCTTTACTAATAGCCACCTCTTCTTCATAAGAGCTAACAATTATTCAGTGCTTTCTACTTGCCAACATCTGTACTAAGGCCCTAAAAGCTCCTCTTGCAGTCCCCTTGTGAAGCAGGTGATGTTTGTTAGCCCCGTTTTGTAGATGAAAAACGTGGCACAGAGAGGTTAAGCAGCTTGCCCGGGGCAGACAGCTGCATCAATAGTGATGGACCCTGGCATCAGCCTTATCACACAGCTTTTTCGTGATCATTATTCCTGGCAGATTTGGGATGCAAACCCAGGTCTCTGAATGCCTGGTTCCTCCTCCCTCATCCTGAATTTCCTGTTTGGGTTCAGGATGACAGTTACTGGCCCTGCAATCATAAATCTTGCAGACAACAGCTCAGTGTTTTCTGCATGGCCTCCCCAGAGCCTCACCCAGCTCCAGCTCAGCAAATGTTCCTCATGAGGGTCCGCCTTTGTAAAGCTTCTAGCCCAGTGAGTTAACCTCCTATTCCAGGAGACAGACAGGGGAAGCATTGGAAGCTAACAGCATGGAGAAGACTCGGGCCAGACACCTGGGGCTCAAACCCCACTTCTGCCACTTAGCAATTACTGTGACCCCTTGAGTAGGTCATTTAACCTTTCTCATGCTACCATTTTCTCATGTGAAAAATGGGGATAATATTCAATTGATGAAATGAAATTGTCACTTTTGTAGATCAAATATTTGTGGTCAAATATGGACACTTTCACGAGGCGCAGCCTAATAGTATGTACCTGGAAGGATTGTTGGGAAGATTAATTGGGTTAGAACAGGGCCTGGTACACGGTGACCCCCAATGAACTGTGAGTGTTGACAATGGTGGGGTGAAGCCTAAGGGCCAGAGGAGCAGGATAATTTAGCTCAGTATTTATTAAGTGCCTACTGTATACCACCTCCATATAAGTACCATGAGAAAACATTCCAAAATCATACACTGAATGAGTGAGTGTACACACACATGAATGCTTTTCCAAAGAGCAGATTCCTAGCCTTCATCAAATTTTCAAAGGCTCTTGTGATGGAGAGAGAAAAGGAATCTCATATCAACCTTCAGCCAACATTTATGGAGCACCCTCTGTGAGACAGGTCCTGGGATGTTTCATGAACACGACAGACACAGACTGGGGAGAGTACAAAATAGGTAGCAGAGAGCTCTGGAAAAGGGGGAGAGGACAGTGAGAACACATGTATTTGAGAGCCCCCAAACAAGGAAGAAAATCAATAATCATCAGGGAGTGGTATGGCGATGAGGCTGCAGACACTGCAGGAGAAATCCAGGTAGGCTTCATAGAGGAGGTGACATTTGCTCTGGGCACAAAGAGAAGGGTGTTCCAAGTAGAGAGAACCTTATGTACAAAGGCACAGGAGCAAGTGATTGTGAGCAGTCCCTGGAATGACCCGGTAAACCATTCCTTTGTGTTATCACGCAGAGGATCAGGAGCCCATCAGGGAGAGCTTGCAATGTCAGGTGAAGTACTGCCTCTGGCCTATAAGCCGCAGCGTACCCTCCTTCCTGACCGATCCTCAGGCCAAGGCGGGGGGACATGCTCTGCTCAGTTAGCAGCACCTAAGTAGGAGGCCAAGTGGGCTTGGTCTCCTATGGTGTTCTCTGCTTCTTGAGCTGACACATTCCTGTCCTCCCTCCCAGGCTGGCCCAGCTCAAAGGCCCCCCATCCCCCCACCCCCACCCCGTTCTGTGGGGAGGGAGGCTGAACTCCAGTTGCCAAGAGCCTCTGCCCAGGCGCTGAGTCAGCAGGAAAGGGAGCATCTCCAGGAAGCTGGCCCTGCCTGGAGGAGGGCAGACTTGGGGGTGGAGGAGGAATGGACCCAATCTGGGCAGTTTTATCCAGGAGGCCATAAGCATGGTGGTTGCAAGTATTGACCTCTGGTTCAGGCTAATGGACCGAGGTTCAATTGCCGATACCATTTGCTAGCCGCGTGGCCGTGGACAGGTGACGTGGCCTCTCTGAGCTTCAGTTTCCTCAGATCAGTTCTTGTCCTTCCTCCAAGAGTTTTGGGTGGAGCTGATGAAATGATGCATGGAAGGAGCCCTGGGAAGTATCCTGCACAAAGGGCTCAGTAAGTGACAGTGAAGGCTGTCGTCTTTATTATTCTCTCCCACATCTGGATTCTGCAAGCTCTGCGGACATTTTCTATTGCTGCAGAGCTTTAGACTGTCCCAGGAAGGGACAAATGAGGGCACCCGCCCTCCTCCTCCCAGGCTTCCACCGTCTAGGAGGGTGGTTCTCAACCTCTTTTGGGGTCTCCAGCTCCTCTGAAACTAAAAGTTTTGGGTTGTATGACTAAATATGCATATAAAATAGAAAAATTATAAGTCAGGGATGAATTTTGAAGAACTTCTACTTTCAATTACATATCCATGTTTAGACGACTTATAAGGAGAATAAATGATTTTTCTAATTCAAAAGCTATAATAGTAAATGCATTCCATTTCCAGAAGTACCAGACCCCAAGCCCCATGCCCATCCTGGGATTGCCAAGTGGTTCACAGACACCCACACAAATAATCCAAAATAAAGCTAGTGTGTTAGAGCAGTGGTGGGTAAACGTTTCTGCAAAATAGTCAAAGAGCAAATGTTTTTAGCCTTTGCAGACCTCGCAGTCTGCTGTAACTACTCAACTCAGCTGCTGTGGCATGAAGCAACCACAGGCAAAGAAATGAGCATGGATGCGTGCCAATAAAACTTTATTACAAAACAGGCAGTGGGCCAGTTTGCCAACTCCTATGTAAGGGTTCCAACTCCTAGATTCCTGGAATGTCTGAAACAGGCTGAGAGGAGTCAGCTAACACGTCCAAGGTCACGCAGCTGAGTGGGGTTGACGGTCCCACTCGCCAAGCAGCCAAGCCATATGGTGGCTCAGGGACTCCAGCTCCAACTCCCAGTGCTGCTGCCTGCAAAGCCACAGCCAGAGCAGGGGGAGAGTGTGGCCAGGCAGGGAGCTGGGGAAGCCAGAGGCAGTCCAGGCTGGGACAGAGGCGATTTAAAGATGATTTAAGATTTGGCTAGAGGGGGCCCTGGGAGGTAGGGCCGGGAGTCATGGGAGCACCCCGTCCAGACGCCAGTGTCTACGTGGGAGGCGGTGGCAGCGCAGAACGGCTACCGAGGAGCAGGACCTGACTAGGCCTTGAAAGACAAGGGCACCTCCTTAGCAAAGGCCAAGACCTGCTCCCTGCTCCTCCTGCATTTGAGTCCCAGTCTTCTCTCTTCCTCCTTGGCCTCCTTCTCCTTTACTTTGCACTCACTGATTCTCTATCACAAAATGAGATCACAAAAGGATTCTCTCTCCTTTTATCCCCACAGCCTTAACAGACATTGCTGATCAATCCTGACAGTCTTTTAGCTGCTCCAGGAAGCCATTGCCAGTCAATCCGAGTTGAAACAAGCTAGAACTTATTTTCTGTCTTTCCTCTGCGCTCTCTGTGTCTCTCACCTTCTACCCAGCTCAGAGTCTATCTGCCCACTGAGACCAAGAAGGGTCAAGTACCTACAGAGGGTTGCCCAGTACTTATGGGGGCCAAAGAGGAGTGCATTTCCCTCCCAGGAGGGAGTGGCTCCTGTCCTACCATCGGTCCACATCTTAAGTTTGTGCATGTGACTGAGCTTGACCTTGTCCCCCAGTGACCCCAGGCATGAAGATCTACATCGACCCTTTCACCTATGAGGACCCCAACGAGGCAGTGCGGGAGTTTGCCAAGGAAATTGACATTTCCTGTGTCAAAATTGAGCAGGTGATCGGAGCAGGTAGGTGGCTGATGCCCTCCCAGGTCCCATGGTCTCAGGTATGGTTGGGAGACACCCCATGTATAGTCCTGGGGTGCACGTGAGGTGGGGAAAACCACCTTACTGACAGATAAGGAAACTGAGGTATGGGGTGGGAGGGAGGTTGCACATCAGACAAGAGACTGGCTACGTCTGAAATCTGGTTCTCTGGGCTTGGTTCAGTGCTTTGTCCCTCTCTGTCCTATCATTCCACCCAGGTCCCTCTCCTCATCTCCCAGGGTTCTGTCTTATTCTCCAGCCAGATACCAGAGGGCAGCCTTGAGCATTTATTCCTAATCTTAAGTGTGGCTGGGGCTTTTTGGGCTCCCAAGTTTGCAAAGGTGTTCTGTGCCTAAGAGGAGTTGACCACTAAAGGACAAAAGGCTGCAGACCCCAGGAGCAGCTGTCACAGGCACAGGGAAGAAGCATTTCTGCCTGGCGAGTGACATCTTGCCTCTCTTGGTGTGTCTGTCCCAGGGGAGTTTGGTGAGGTTTGCAGCGGCCACCTGAAACTGCCAGGCAAGAGAGAGATCTTCGTGGCCATCAAGACACTCAAGTCGGGCTACACAGAGAAGCAGCGCCGGGACTTCCTGAGTGAGGCCTCCATCATGGGCCAGTTTGACCACCCCAATGTCATCCACCTTGAGGGTGTTGTCACCAAGAGCACACCTGTGATGATCATCACTGAGTTCATGGAGAACGGCTCGCTGGACTCTTTCCTCCGGGTAGGGCCAGCAACAGTCCAGAGTGGTACTGGGAAAGGTGTGGTGGAGTGAGCTTTGATATAGTCAGAGCCCAGAGAGGTCTTGAAAAAGTCCTAGGTCAAGAATGATTTGCATACTGTGCCACTTGCCATTCCCTTACTCATAGCAGACATCACTAATCAATCCCCATTAAACCCAGAAACTAAGAATCCTTCCCAATCCAAGAAAACACAGTCAGTCAGAGTTGGCATACCACCTGAACACTGTGCTCTTTGCCAGCTTTCTCATTACCTACCAGAGAAAGTTAAGGCTCAAAGAGTTTACCAGCATCACCGAAAAGGTTGAGGTGACAGCCAGGACTGGTACCTGTCTTTTGACTCCTTGTGTAGAATTTTTTTATCAGACTTTTATTTTCCCCAAAGCTTTAGAGCACAAGTCCAACAGAAACCTTTCTAGACCCATCACCCCCAGGAGATCACAACTAGCCAGATACAGAGCGCTGACTAGCAGTGAGAAGCAAGCCATTGGACTGATTGCCATTAACAAATATTGATTAAGCACCTAGTATATATCAGACAGCTTACAAATACCTTCTTGTGGGTTTTGGTTTGGTTTTTTGTTTTGCTATTTTTGACTTTTTTAATAATTTTTTAAATTAAAACCAAACCACCACGTCCCACCCCATCTGCCACCATGCCCCATCACCTCCACACTTAACCCTGTTTCCTCTGGTGATCATTATCTTCTTTTTTGCTGAGTTCAGATACTTTTGGTATTTATATTCCACAGATGAGTGAAACCATCCAATATCTGTCTTCCACTTCTTTGCTGATTTCATGCAATGGGATAATCTCAAGGTCCACCCATATTGTGCCAAATGCCATCATTTCATCTTCTTCACTGCTATGTAATATCCCATTGAATGTTTGCTCCATAATTTCTGTATCCATCCTCTGTTGTGGGGTACTTAGATTGGTTTCACTATTTGGTAATTGTAAATAGTGCTTCTGTATACATAGGTGTAAATAGATCTTTGCATGTTAAATTGTTCATGTTATTTGGATAGACATCTAATAGTGGTATTTCTTGGTCAAATGGGATTTCCATTTTTATTTTCTTGAGACACCTCCATACCATTTTCCATAATACCTTCTTCACCACCCTAAATCTGTTCTCTTTGTGGTCCTTGAGCATCGAGGTTCTTCCCACAGGGGCCTAGGGCCAGTGTTCTATTCTGGCTTCCCCTTGCAGGGATGATCTGATTTCTGCCTTTTTGCTTACCCTGCATTTTCTCCATTTATCCCTAAGCAAAATGACGGGCAATTCACTGTCATCCAGCTGGTGGGCATGCTCCGGGGCATCGCAGCTGGCATGAAGTACCTGGCAGACATGAACTATGTCCACCGAGACCTGGCTGCCCGCAACATCCTGGTCAACAGCAACCTCGTCTGCAAAGTGTCTGACTTTGGGCTCTCACGTTTTCTGGAGGATGACACCTCAGACCCCACCTACACCAGCGCCCTGGTGAGATACAGCAGGGAATACCGAGCCATGGTGCCAGGAAAGAGGGCATAATCACCCCCCTCCCCAAATGACATTTTCACCCACCCTGCTCATGCCAAGAACTATGCCAGGCCCTGGAGACAGACCATGGTTTCTGCCCTCTTGGGGTACACAGGCTGGTGGGGGACACAGATATGCAGAGAAACGAGGAGTGACAGGCTTAAGGGGCACCTTACCCCTCCTTGGCAGGCAGAGTAAGTTTTGCTGAAAGCCAAAGAGCCATAGAAGTTTGTCAGATGCCATGGTCTTGGGGCCAGAGGTGACCAGAATGCAGGTGTCAGAGAAGGTGGCAAGCAGATACTAGAGAGAGGCAGAAGGGCCAGGTCTTAGAGACCCATGAATGCCAAAGTCTCAGGACTTCACATCCTGTTGGTTATGAAAGGGTTTTAAACAGAAAGGAATAAGGTACAGTTCCTGCCCTCAAAGAGCTTGAAGACAGACCAGTAAAGGCAGGCAAGAAGACGACTTAGTTGTGTACTGCTCTGTAAGAACTGCGTCTTTGATGGAGAGATATGGGCACAGTTAGAGGGTAGAGGAGAATGGGACGTAGGGAGACTGTCAGAGGGACTTAAAGGGTGAGGGGGTCGCAGCGTGGGAAAAGGCACTTCATGAAGAGGAGCCGCATGTGCAAATGCCCGGAGGTCTGAAGCACCTCCTGGGTCAACAGCAGTGAAGCAGCACTGTGATTTTTGGGGGCACAAGAAGGTGCTTATGGGATTGGGATGCCACCATGCAGAGGGTAGGAAGGATTGAGACGGGAGCCGGATAGGTCAGTCCCCATCATCATCAGTCCTCCTCATTCTGCTCTCCAGGGTGGGAAGATCCCCATCCGCTGGACGGCCCCAGAAGCCATCCAGTACCGGAAGTTCACCTCGGCCAGCGACGTGTGGAGCTATGGCATCGTCATGTGGGAGGTGATGTCTTATGGGGAGCGACCCTACTGGGACATGACCAACCAGGACGTAAGTCTCCACGGGTAGACTGAACCTCTCTTGCCAACCACGTGGGAGGGGGAAGATCCAGAATTCCTGGCCTTCTGCCAGTCTCCCAGGAATCAGGAGCAGTCCTGGAGATCCTGAGCCAGAGCAGCCCTCAGCCCACAGGTGGCTGACTCAAACATCTACAGTCTCCAGGGATCGGAGTAGGAAAGACCCACCCACAAAGCAGCAGACCTCCAGGACTGTGGTCACCCCTCAGTTGTGTGTCACCTAAACGGGGGGGGGGGTTATTTTGGAGACCAGAAACTTTTTATGATTAAGTGTTAAACTGGAGAAGGCAGGTGTCGAGCCCTGAAGGTGTTGAGGCAGACAGCGGGGTGCATAGGAGGCTCCTGGTAGAGAAGCAGCCTGTGCAACAACCCTGGGATGGGATGATGCGAGGTCATGGTGGGCAGCAGTGGAGAAGAAAGCTGGGCAGAAAGGTCGATGAGGTTCAGTGATAGGGTGTTTGCAAGTGAACCTAAGGAAGTTTGATTTGCCGCAATAGGGAGAACGTGAAGAAACTTCCTGAGCGGGAAGAGTGACCCACAGTCACATTGGGGATGATGAGTCTGGCCCTGGTGGCAGGAATACTTGGGAGAATTGTCTGGGGTCCACTCCTTGACTGAGGAGTCCAGGTGGGGATTGTGGGATGGGACCACCAGGCTCAAGGCTTGGCAGTGGGGCCCGACAGGAGATGACCACGTCAGGGTGCTGGATTTCCCAAGATTGGGAGAAAAGCGGGGGAGGGATGGCGGTGGCAGGCAGCCAGCTGCCAACGCAGTCCCAGGCCATAGATGGTGGGAACCCAGGGGAGGCCTTCTCCTTGCCTTCCCAGGAGGGGGGCTGTTGCCATGGCAACCAAGTAGGGCTACCCTGCAGTGTGCTGGGGGGGGGGTGAGAAAGGCCCGGCCAGGGGTCAGATGCTTGTGCCCCTCCCGCCCAGCCCCACTCGGCCCCTGTGTTGCCCCAGGTAATCAACGCCATAGAGCAGGACTACCGGCTGCCGCCCCCCATGGACTGCCCGAGCGCCCTGCACCAGCTCATGCTGGACTGCTGGCAGAAGGACCGCAACCACCGGCCCAAGTTCGGTCAGATCGTCAACACGCTCGACAAGATGATCCGAAACCCCAACAGCCTCAAAGCCATGGCGCCCCTCTCCTCGGGGTATGGTCCTGCCTGCCCCTGCCCCCTCCTCAGCCCCGCCCCCTCCCACCATGTCTCCGCCCCCTGCACCCTCCCCCTCTGCCCCTGCGGGAGACCGCCTCTGCGCACTGCAGCTCCTGGCCCGCGAGTAGAGTCTGCTGTGTGCCTTGGGGTGCAGGATGACAGGATTATGGACGGAAAGGAAGAGTGTGGGGGTGGTAGCAGAAGCACCTTTTACAGGACAGAGAACAACGGTTCAGAAAAATCACCAGGATCTTGATGAATCAATTATTGAAGTCTCCTGCACACTCAAACCTCTGACTTGCATGTGCATCCTCCTCGATCCAGCTGTCCACACACACGGCACACTGACATGACACAGACGCAAACACTCTAGCCACACGCCCGCACTGGCAGTCTCACACACGGCTACACGCCCATCCTCAGGCTCTCGCACCTGCGCGCCCACAGGCACCTGAGCGCACACACGGGTGCCGCATCCCCGTGCCTCACCTCTGGGTCACATCCCACATCGCAGAGACGGGCTCAGCTGCACCAGCACCGGCGCCAGTGACCCTGGTGCCCCCCGCCCCGGTGACCGATGGCCCCCCATCAGGTCTCGGGCCACTGCCTCACGTGGGCGGCTGTCACAGGCCCCCTCCTGCCCTGAACACACTCCCTCTTTGACTGTCCGTCACACAGGCTTTCGAGGGGCGTCCAGCTAGGTGTCCTCGGGCCCAGGGCTAGATGTATCCGGGACTCTGTGGGTCCACGTCCTTCACCTGCCAAGTTCTCACCATCAGATCTTCGTGTTAGCTCTAACAGCTGCTCCCCGCCACGGCCTCTCCCAGTCTCTCCTGTCATGCCGGATAAGATCGCTGAGTCTTTAGGCACATGAGGATCAGTTCACTCCTTGCAACCATACAGTCACTCCCCTCCATGCCACCCGCTTTGCCCGATTTAGGAGGTGCACTTCAGGACCAGCACAGCCAGGGCGGAGAATGGCACAGGGGGGAGGGAAGAGCGTGGCATCGGCATGGGTGGTCCAGCAGAAATCACTCCTGGAAATACGCACCACTGGTGTCCAGCCTCTCAGCAGTCCCTGCAGAGGCCTCCCCACCCTTTGCAGCGGACCCCAGCTTTGGGTCCTGCACACACACATCCGTCCTCACACACACGCACGCACATCTCCGTGGGCTCGAACCGGCGTCCGAGATCTCAGAAACGCCCATGAGCACACGCACCTGTGTTTGAGCAGCTAGGTCCACAGGAGCAGGTGTGCACACAGCCCAGGTGTGCCTACGCCCGTGCTCACCCTCACCGTCTCTGTTGCCTTGCCCCACCCAGAATCAACCTGCCGCTGCTGGACCGCACGATCCCCGACTATACCAGCTTTAACACGGTAGACGAGTGGCTGGAGGCCATCAAGATGGGACAGTACAAGGAGAGCTTCGCCAACGCCGGCTTCACCTCCTTCGACGTTGTGTCACAGATGATGATGGAGTAAGTGCCCAGCACCTCCCCCGCCACCCACCCTCCTCCCCACTCATCCCACCAAGCAGGAGGCTCTGGATGGTGAGGAACTGACGGTGTCCCAGCGGAGATGTGGGGACCAAGGGGTAACCCGGCCAACCTTGCAGTCCTGTTCAGATTGACAGCCAGGCCTGCCTGCCACCCACTGGTTATGCGACCTTGGCCCGGTCTCGAAACTCACTCAGCCCCTCGTTTTCTCTAACATCAAAGGAGATTGAAAGTGAGTGGGTACTTAGCAGACGCAAGGCAGAGGAGACCAGTGTACCAGGCACCCTGACTCCCAGGCAAGTGCTCCCCCATCTCAGCACCACTGACTCCAGCTCAGGATGCCCACCCCTTCACCACATCCCTGCCCCTCCCCTGCTCTCTTTGGCAGGAAACCCCTAGAGAAGCCCAGGCCGCTCTCTGCCTGGCCCAACGCACCCTCCACCCTCGTGACCCCCCTAACACACTGCTTCTCTCCCAAAGGGACATTCTCCGGGTTGGGGTCACTTTGGCTGGCCACCAGAAAAAAATCCTGAACAGTATCCAGGTGATGCGGGCACAGATGAACCAGATCCAGTCTGTGGAGGTTTGACCTTCACCTGCCTCGGCTCACCTCCTTCTCCAGGACCACCCCCTCCGCCCCCATCCACCCTGGTTCTCCGTCCACCGCAGGGTCGGCCACCTGCCAGGAGGCCACCTGCCAGGAGGCCACGGGCAACAGGAAGAACCAAGCCTCGCTCTAGTCGAGAGATGTTACCAACACCACGTGCAACACAGATCACAGAAAAAAGGGAATGGGACAAAAGAAATCGGCCCCCCGGGAGGGCGGGAACCACAGGACTCCTTTTCAAAGAGGATTCTCATAGGAAAGCGGTCTTTGTTCCTGGGGAAAAGAAGGGCTTGGGAGATCCATGTGCTTCGTCCAAGAGGACACCCACAGCAGCTTTTCTCCAACTTCCTCTGGGACCGTGACCTGGCCAGAGCCAAGAAAACACTTTCAGGAAAACAAATGTGAAGGGGAGAGACGCCCTTTTCTTCTGTCCTCACGCCGCTCTTCCAGGCCGCGCTCCACAGCCACGTGCAAGGCCCACGGAGCGGCCCCACCCGCGGGACCCTCGGCCACCTGGGAAGATTGGCGCCTGGTGCCACAGGGCAAGCGGAAGAATTTTTCTATCTTTGATGACTATTTTGGACATGGACACTTCGACGAAAGAGACCTGTTTCTCCTGTCAGCTCAGGGGGCTGAACGGGAGCTTTGGTCCTCCTGGGTCAGGGAGACCGTGGGACACACAAGGTCAGCGGCCTGAGCCTGGCCGCCCCGGTCTGCAGCTCCGCGTTGGATGGCGCATGCGTCTGCTCCCACCAGCCCCCACCCAGAGGACGGATCCGCAGTCACTGCCACCAGCTTCGACTGCCATCGATCCTGCATCTGGGTGTGTTTACAGCGATTCGTGGGTTCGGGGGTATTTTGGTCAGGGGTGGATTCAGTTTGGGGGGTTTGTTGTTTGTTTTTTTTTTAAGACAATGAAGTGACACTTTGACATTTCCTACCTTTTGAGGACTTGATCCTTCTCCAGGAAGAAGGTGCTTTCTGCTTACTGACTTAGGCAATACACCAAGGGCGAGATTTTATATGCACATTTCTGGATTTTTTTATATGGTTTTCCTTGACACCCCTCCCTCCTCCCCCTGCCTAGAGCTCCCACCTGCTGCCAGGCCTCACCAAAGCCAGCTGCCACGGGGCCATCTGGGCCATTCAAAGACTGGGTGAGATCTGGGCGGAGGGTAGGGGCTGGTAGAGGAGCTCCCACCCAGGACTGCTGGTGAAGGCAACAGATTGCAGAGGTGGGCTCCGAGGCTACAGAGCCACTGAGCTTGGCCACTTCTCCACTCTCCTTCTATCCTGATGTATCCAGAACTTTCCAGGCAAAAAGGCCCCTCCGAGATTCCCGCGTGCCCTCAGATAACCAGAACCCAGTTTTGCCTCAGCCTGCACCCCGCTGCAGCAGAGGCCAGGACCCAGATCATTCACTGTGATACCCCAGCCTGCCAGAGCACCACCCTCCGAGACCAGGCACGTACCTCCCCTCTCCCGGGAGGGAAGAGGCGTGTGGTTTCTCTCCCACCTCGTTGCTTCCACCAGACCTTGGCCCAGGTGTGAAGATCCCGATCGTGAGGGAACCTCCAACCAGCGGGTCTGGCCGCAGACACCCCGTATGAGCAGAGGCAGGCACCTGAGTGCAACGTCACTAGCGCACCGAATGGAAATAAATGTGTTAGTTATAAAACCACCCTGTCTCTGGAAGTTCCACGGGAGACCCTGATACCGGAGACATGTCAAGGCTATTGATGCTCTTCTAAGCAAATCTTCCTTCCTCAGGTTTCTAGAAGGCCAGGGCTAAGCAAACACACGGAGGACACCAAAGGTCCTTGTGGTCTTTCTGCCTCTGACTTGTCAAAAGCACAGGCAACGGAAGAACTGAGTTGGAAGTGTCTCGAAGCATGATGTTCACTGCCTGCAGGTCGGGGTGAGCCGGGGCAGGCCGCATCGGGAGCAGGGACCAGGCAGGGCTGCTCTCTGCTCTCCTGGGCCCGAGGCAGAGGTCCAGGGAGTAGGTGACCATGGAGCATGAGGGTTCTGGTGCATTTATGGACCCCCAGGGAGAGCCACGGTATGCTCACCTTCTGCTGGTCAGCTCTAACCCCTGTGCAGATGGGCTACAATCGATTCATTGTGTGGGAGGAGGCGGAGAAATGGACATGCAGTGAATGTGAGTGGCTGCAGAGGGGAGGCAGGGATGCCTCCTTGGGACCTCCCCTTGTCTGTGGGAAACTGACCAGAAGGAATGATTCAGGCTGCCAGTGGGCAGCTGAAGGCCTCTCAGTAGGAGGAGAGTCCAGCGTGAACCAGCATGTCGTCTGTCACTCACCTTTTCTCCAGAGCCCCAGAGGCAATGTCAAGGAAGGGATTAGAGGGGAGCACAGGCCCAAGCAGGGGGGGGAAGGCCTGGGCAGGTTTCCCATGAACTGGCCAGCATGGCCCAGCCGGCCGTCCTTTGTGCCCCAAAGATGCCCAGCACGGGTGGCAGCTGTCCCAGCACACGGGTCACCTTCTGGAGGGAGCTGCCCTGATGCTTTTTAGATTAACTCTGCCTCCCCAGTGTGTCCCCCAAGGCTCCGGGACCCTGCAGGGGGCTGGCACATGGTGCTTCCTGTCAGATGGCTTCCTGTCCTAAGCCGCAAGGCTGGTGTCTGCTAGCCAGCGCGTCTGCCCAGCCGCCCTCCAGGGCGCGAGTCCTCAGGGATCCTGGGCCCCACATGCCAGCTTAGCATAAAGGTGCCACCCACACCCTCTGTGTCTCCACGTCAGAGTAACAGACAGCCGTCACTGTGACCATCCTGGGGTGCGGGCAGATGCCCACCATGCCGCCTTGCTGCCGGCCAGCCCCCACCACCTCGTGCTGGCTTCTCGGCAGGAAGTAGCAGCCATGCTGCCAAGCGCCTTCCACGGACGCTGCCCACTCGCCCGGGCACACGGCTCCCAGCCACCCGCTGCCTGGTTACTAATCCTTTCCTGGCTCAAGATCCCCAAGTGCCAGCCCCCACCTGCCCAGCAGTGTTAGAGGCGTTTCCGGCTGCTCTGCACAGTTGGTACTTGAGGAAAGAAAGCTGCCTTGATCCACATGGGCCAGGGCACCATGGAAATGGGGAGCAGCTGCCGGGAGAGGTGTGACAGGCAGATGAGCTCAGGCCAGGCTGGGTGATAGAGCTGCGCCATCGCCATCCTCCTGCCCCAGAACCACCCCATGGGTTATTGTTCCCGATGGCAGGCCCCTTTGTGGAGGTTGATATTCAAAAGCTCTATCAACTAGTCAGACCAATCAGACGGAGGATGGTTGTGGCTTAGACCTAAGGGCCTCCCAGCACAGAGTGGCAGGCCAGCCGAGACACTCAGGGGCGGGGCGGGGCCTTCCCATCGCTTCTGGCTGGTCCCACCCCCCACCTCTCGGGGCCTCTCTGCCGTGTCCTTGCACAGCCACCAGCCTTATAGCCCCTCAGATCGGGGCTCGCCAAAAGGCTGGGAGCACCCGCCTGTGCCCCATTCTTCCCCTCCCCTGGCTGAAGCGCAGGAAGCACCGGGGCCCAGACCACCAGCCACCGCAACACCAGGCCTCAGCCCCTCCTGGTTCTCCACTTCCCCCCTAGTTCCAAGGTGGGAGAAAGGGGGAAGGCTCTTGCCAGGGAGACTCGAGTAAATGCCTCCAGAGGATACGGCTGGGTGCCCCCGTTGCTAGGGAAAACCCTGCCACCGGGCGGCAGCCTTGCAGGAGCACGACTTGAAACAAATCTGAGCCAGACCATGGGGCCGGGTGAGCCAAGCATGCAAGATGCTGTGGTCCTGCGAGCAGAAATTGTTTCCTCCCATATGTCAGGGCAAACCGGTTCAGAGAGGTGGAGACACTTGCTCAGGTTCACATAGGCAGGAAGGGACAGAGCAGGCTGTGATTTATCTGCTTCCAGTGCCCAGTCAGCTGCAGGCCGCTAGGAGAAGGAAAGTAGGACTGAACTGAGGTAGTCAGGGAGGGCTTCATGGAGGAGGCGGTCTTGCAATTGCTAGAAGCTGAGAGAAGGGACATTCCAGGTGAGAGGTAGAGTGTTGCCAAAGATGCAGAGACCAGAGTGGTGCACAGTGAGAGGTCTTGTCTAGGTGAGCCAGAGGAGTGGTGGGAGCTAGGCGCTGGCTGAAGGGGAAGTGGAGGCAGTGGACATAATGCACTGTCCAGCCGCAGTAGGTTCCTGAGCAGCGGGTCAGCGTGAGCACTGGGCTCTAGCAGGAGGCGGTGGTTCAGCCATCAGGTGGGGGCAGAAGGCCTCACAGCTCCCGGGTCCCCTGGGAGGAGAGCCCCCTGGAGAAGCCTCATTTATTCCAGAGCGTCTACGCCCTGCTGCTCCGTTTTCCATCCTCACTCACTGATGCAGATAATCCAAAGAGGCATTTCAGCTGCTTGGAACAGCAGGGGTAGACTTTGTGCTACCTGACTCTTAATTCAGCTGCCTTTGACTGATGCCCATCCTATTTCTTCCAGACCTCTCAAGGCTGCCCGGGGCCTAAATGACCAGAGCTGAGTAGATGTGGGCAGGCAGAGTGCCTGGTGTGTGCAGGAGCCAGGGGCTAGCTGGGGGCGTGCAAAACTGCTCAGGAAGCCCTCTCTGGCCCGAGAGATCTGCCAGACATACTGGCAGGAGCCTGGACTCCTACCCTTTTCAACTGTGTGTTACACTGGGGACACCAAGAGCAAAATCGGGGAGGCACCCCACATGTGCACCCCACTCATCAGCCTTGGTCAAGCTCCCATGAAATGGCTCCCAAAACTGAGAATGGAGAAGGGCCTCAAAGTTGGCCAGTTTGCCCTGCAGGGACACCATGGTCAGTGCCGGCCCCAGGAATCGACTCAGCCTTGTTTTGTGTGGTGGAAAAGCTCAGGGAAGCCCTTTGGAGGCCTGTCTCAGGGGGTCACCCGCAGGGGCTGTACGAATCGCTGAGCACATCCATCCACCAGTGCCCCTTGTGGGGAGGTGATGGCTGCTACCACCCCACTCTACAGGGAGGAAACGAACCCCAAGGATTCCCACCCGCTGTCTGCCTGTGGTTTTCCTCCTTCCCACCTCAGAGTTGCTGAAAGTTGTGCTGGCCCACCTAGATCAGGACCTATTATTCAACATACTGGGTCTGGGCTCCACCCCAGCCCCCTGAATCAGAATCCCCAGGGCCAGGCCTAGAATCGGTTCTTTAAAAGCTCCTCCATGAGATACCCTAAGATGCTGAAAACCTGAATTCCACCCCCCCACCCTCACCCCCCACACACACACATACAACAAACTGCCCTGCTGTCTGGCGGAGACAGGGATTAGCAAGGCATCGCCAGAAAAGATGCCCAAACTCAGACGTGGATTAGGACCCATGAAGTAGGAGGGCAGGGCTGACCCTCAGGAATGCGGTCAGACTGAGCTAAGCTTTCAGGAAAATTGGAAAGACCCCCACACCCAGAGTCTGTCTGAGTTGAGCTTCGCAGAAGGCTGCCTCGGGAAAGCTGATATCTCCAGAAGCAACAGCTTAATACATCAGAGCCCACCCAGGCCACCCTATGGGAGACCCCACAGACCCCAAGCCTAACTTTCAGGTCTGTTCATTCAACACCTGGCCAGGTGGGCCAGGCAAAGAGGGGGTGCAGTTAAAGCTTCCAGCTGGACCTGGAGCTTCATATGCCCCCATGCCACCCCCAAATCCTGCCACCCGGGCTAAGACAGGGCTTTCCCTGGAGGAGAGAACAGGGGTGACGAGGCTCAGCTCTCCCAGGGTCTGACAGTCCCTGCTGGGGGAGGGGCGCTATGCCCCCGGCAGGAGGTGGGCATCAGAGCCAGGACCACATACATGCTGGAGTCCCTGCTGAACGAGAGTCCAGAAGTCTAACATTCCAGGGGTGAACGATTCTAAGATTGCAAAACCCCTTCATTCTAAGATTCCAGTGGAATTATTCCAAGTTTCTAAGATTCTGTCACCATATGATTCTCTGCTGCTTGAAATCAAGTCCAGTTGTTCATTGATGGTCCCCAAACCCGAGGCCCCTAGCAGCGGAAAAGCACATAGAGAAGGAGCTGCCCCGAGACACGGTTAACAACAGGCCCTCACAGCAGCTCCAGCTTTTGGATCTGAGACAGAAGGGCCCGGGCAAGGACCCAGGCCCCTCTTGAATGTGCTGCTGAACTTCTCCCCCAGTAGTGACAGAACTGCCCATACACCTGGCCCTCTCAGTGGCCAGCGGCACTAGCTGGCCCATGCTGAAGCTGCGCAAGGCCCCCTGCAGGCCAAAGGGCCCACCAGTTCCTGGGCTACCCCGTTCAGCTCAGGAGCCAAGGAGCAGCCCTCTGGCTCAGTGGGGGAAGGCGCTCCTCCAGGGTGGGAACCCCCAGACTGGAGGAGGCAGGGTCTAGGGTGTGCTGAGCTGGCATATCACCCTCCTGTTCAGAGTCAGAGATGTAACCCTGGACAGCCAGGGGGTCCTACTGCCCACCCGAGAGCCAGGTGCCTTCCCTCTGACACTCGGGATGCAGCTTCCCAGGTCCCTCGGCCCAGGGATCCCCTCACCCTAACCCATGGGTGGCCAGCGTGGGATTACTCAGAGAGTGTCCCCTATCTGGAAGGGGACTCCGGAGGGCGGGGGGGACATGAAGTCGAGCATCTAAGGCTGGCCCAGGGTGTGCCTGGCAGGGACACTCCCTGACAACCAGCTTCTTTGGACTCCAAAGAAGAGCAATTACTGGTTGGTCACGCCAAGCCCAAAATCCTAATCATAGCTGCTATTTCTTGAGTGCCAACAAGGTGCCAGGC